TAGCATAACTATTGTTTTGTATATAACTCTACTTATGACTGAATTGATATGTCTAGCAGGAGTGCTTCAAGTCTGTTGGTTTGTTTCCCAGCTTGGTGTATGACAGTTTCTGCCCCAGTTCCCGGAAGCATTTCTGTATCCCAAACTTTGTTAGGGTAGCTTTGGTACAACACTGGTTTTGTCCAGTAAATATTAAACCAACTGTACCATATAGTATGAGGTGTTTGACTTAAACCTGATGAGCATAAAAATAAGAAGCAAAGTAATGTGTAGAGATAATACAAATGGTATCGAATCTAAGGGAACTGTAAAAAAAAAAAAAAATTACAAAAAACAATAATTGCTTAAAGATAAAAAGATTGAAAAATTAATTACAGGCCAATTTACGACCTGTCTGTCGTAACCAGTTATGGGCATAAGTTGGCGACAATCTTTTTTTTTTTTTTTTTTTTTTTTTTTTTTTTCAAGATCAAATAACCTTGGAAAATAATTGCACATGATTGAGATTAAACTTATTTCAGTTTTAAACACTTTAGATTCATAGAATAAAGCAGTTTTCTTTTATTTTGGTAAGATATCAATATAGGAGTAATAGGAAGAGTAATACTATTGCATGCATTATTGTATAAACTTTTTGTGCCTTAAGCCATTATTAGGTCCGATTGCTTATAGCACAAATCTCCCTGTTACCCTGTATTGTGTGTGTGTATATATATATATATATATATATATATATATATATATATATATATATATATATTATTTTTCTGATATCAGCACTTCCTCCATAAGTATAGCAAATTTTAAACAGATGTAAAAAAAAAAAATCAATATTGGGTTTTTACATGTTTTTATTTTGTGTACTTTTTTTTTTTTTTTTTTCAATGTGGGCTGTTTGATATTACATTTTGATCTTTCATTAAATTAAATTCTAGTTGTAAATTTCATTGCTCAAGGGATATTATGAATTTTTACAATTTTTTCATCTTTTAGTTGTACTCTTCTCAAACCTGTGAATTAGACTTAAAATGTTTTAAATATGAATAAACAATTTTGAAACATTAAAATTATTTTCGATAATTTTTTGCATGTATAAGTGATAGTTAAATTTTGCAAAAACCTTAACTGTTATAGTAAATAAACTTTTTTTTTTCTTTTTTTTTTTTTTTAAATAAACAGTAACAATATTTTTCTTAACCATTTCTATATTTGAAAGATTTAACCTGAACAGACAATATTGTAAAGTTGTTACATGATGTCAAAATAGCTTTAATATCAGAATATTGAAAGGATGAGTAAGAAAAATTGATTGTCCAATAAAATATCTGAACATGGTATTTCAAATGAAAATATTAAGATGGAATATTAAGAGCATTTGTTTGACATGAAAGTGACCAAACTTACATTTGAGGAAACTTCATAAAGAGAAAATGTAAATTTGGCAAAGGAGTAGATGAAAATTGATTTCTTAACAGTATATTATTTTGTGATGAATATAGAGCTATATTGGATGGACTTGATGTTGTGACTAGAAATTGGGTTCTACATGGAAATAATCACTACCAAAATGACAGTATGATGGTGTGTGAACGCTATTTTGGGGTAATATTGTTGGCATTAAAATTTTAAATATCTTAAAAGCTGAAAATCAGTTTTTGAACAAAACTCTTTTGAGTGGTACCTGTCATAACAAAGATGTTTTGTGTTAAATGGGATATTTATGTAAGAAAAGGCTTCCACACTTTGTAAAGATTGCTATTGCTCATCTTGCCATAAAGGTTTCAAATTGATAAAATGGCTCCAACCTTTCCAGATATCAAATAAATAGAAAACATTTGATCTATCATTAAGAGAATTGTATAAGGAAAACAATACCCAAGCAAAAATCTCTTGGGAAGCAAGGAAAAATGCAAAGACTGAAGGTTAAAGAATGTTATGGTGCCCATATTCACATGTAAAATTATTCAGGTACATGGAGTATTGTTATAATCGAATGTTTCTATTGTCTGCAGGTTTTGAATTTATAAATAATAAAAAAAAAAAAAAAATTGTTGCACTTTATTTAGACAGAATTTAAAACAGTTTAAATTTAAAGTTTTTGTTAAACTCTATATAAAATACAAAAACCTTTAAAACCGCTCCCCCCACAGTTATTTTAAAATTTAAATTTTTAAATGTTCCTTCCTTATCCAGACACAATTGTTGCAAAACAAACCTGACACTTTCAAAACAAGTTAATCAGTATTTTTTGATAAAGTTAGATACCAAATGAAAGTTGTAAGATATATTGCTCATATGAATATATTCTGAAAACTTTATCAACATCAGTTTAATTCCAGTTTTATCTTGAGGAAATTGGTTTTCAAGTGATCTGAATTTGCTTGCAATACATTCATTCTTAGATTAAAAGACTGGGTATAATTAAAGTTTTAAGTTTATGAACACAAATTCTTTTAAGCATAATGTTAATGAGGTTGTAAATAATATTCCTTGATTTACATGAATAAAAAAAATATTAAAAACAAATTATTATTGAAAGATGAACCTTGCTGAGGAAATTGTAAATTGATTTTTTTAATGGCAATTTTAAGGCCTTTTTTATAACATCTACCATTTGATAAGGTTAGCATTAATGCAAGTGAAGTACTATTTGGTTTGGTAGATATACATTTAGAAAATGTTTCGGGCTTGAACCTTAAGATATGAATAAAGATGAAGCTACATTATAGCATTACTGGGATTTTTAGGTCATGTAAAAACAGGTTGTCTATATTTATACCATGTGAATATTGCAAAATACTAGTTTTCTTGTGAGGCAAGATTTGCCTTGTTTAGAAATTCTTATCTTCAGTTAACTTTAAGAAGCATCATTGGTTTTTATTTAAAGGTCACAAATGAAGGTTCCATGATTTCTAGCCTTTGTGTTCTATCATTGAGCTACAGAAAATTCCTTAAAAATCAGACTTTACTTTAGTTACATGTAAAATAAGTAAAACTTTGACCCATGAATGCTTTTACATCCCAGTTAATGATGGATATTTTCCTCTTCAATAGTAAGTGTGTGTGTAATATATATATATATATATATATATATATATATATAAAAAACTGAGTTTACTTTCAATGACCATAGAATGACTAAATATGTTGTAATGTAGATTAACAATAAAGAACAAATTAACCAAAACTAATAAATTATTAAAATATAGGTAATTAAGAAATGTTTTTATTGCCAAAATAATGTGTAACTGGGGACCCCTTGTTAGTATTAGTTTGAAGTATTTTTGTTTCATTAGAATTATTTTTCTTAAAATAGATCAAAATATAATGAAATAATTGAGGAAGTTTGTGCAGCCATTTTAATTATATATATTTACAGTGTTGTTTTTGTAATCAAAAGCTTTGCCCCTTGGTTTCTTTATAATAATGCATGAGATCACATTGCCTATATAGATAACTAGCTTAAAAGCTGCACTCCATGTGGACTTTTAAGCTAGCTCCTGTGGAGGGCTAATTGAGCCTTTGGCCCTGAAACTAAATGGACCTCTGGTCCAGCAATGATAATTTTAAAGAAATTTCTCTAAATTCCTCAATTCACTTCATGGAATTTCAAAATCTCATTTTAACTTTGATTTGTGTTATTTGTGCCGAAATTGCAATTTAGGCCAAAAATTGAGTTCTTCAAATCACAAACTCTGGAATTTCCAAACTTAATGTCATGAAGCCTTTCACTTTAACACGGATTCTTTTGCATTTTGAAGAAATAAAATTGATTTCCTCAATTCAAAGTTTTAGATATATAGACAGAATTTAAAACAGTTTAAATTCAAAGTTTTTGTTAAACTCGATATAAAATTAAAAAAAACCTTTAAAACTGCTCCCCCGACAGTTATTTTAAAATTTAAATTTTTAAATGTTCCTTCCTTATCCAGACACAAATCCCAATGCTGGATGTTCAAGCACCTGGTTCCAAAAAATGTGTGTGTAGAGCAAGTGTGGCCAAAATTAGCGGGGTTTTAGACACAGATGGAGAGAAAATTTGCTGTTTATTTAGAAGATATTGCAGAAAACTTGTCTTTGTTAATTTTGGTTGTTGATATTACAAACACAAGCAATTAAGTGAAGCTGTAGCATATTTGCCATAGTGCCTCATGTTTATTGTAATATATAGATATTTCTTACACAAATAAATTTATTCTGCAAAATACAAGACAATTGGGATAGCATTTCATGGTTTCAGATTTTGATTTTTGTGTGAAATACAATAAATTCTAAAAGTGTTTGATTTCTTTCCAAGTTCAAGATTTTAAGCTAAAATCTCTAAACAGTTTCAATTACTATAAAAATATCAATGTTTCTTTTAAACTTTGAATTTAATCACTAGTCCAGTAATTTTATTTTTTCATTATAGAATTTTTTGCTTATCACATGGCAACATTAGTTTCAAGGTTTGTTTTGTATTTTCTCTTGCATATTCATTTTAGGTTATTATAGAATAAATAATTTATAAATGTTAATCTTCTAATGTACTTATTCGGGATTAATTAAAACTTCCACATATGACATGTATGTAAACTTTAATACTTTGTCCATTTAGAGTGCATTTTACTATAAACACTGTAAAGAAAAATTGATTTCTTACCAGAGAAAAAAAAAAACAGTATTACTTTTATAATGAAATACTTGTAAAATCGGTTACTCCAACAAATATCAATTTTTATATATTCCTGAAGGTTCTTTTTTGTAGTTGAATATCATTAAAAACTTGTTTCAAAACTATCGAATAAAAATAACTTGGATGCAATGTTTAAATTGCATTTACTATTTATGCAATAATGTCTTGGTGACCTATGAAAGACCATGACCTTGTATCAATATAAAGTCACAATATTGGATGATTATTGATGCTGTTTCAGAGTGAAGGTGGGGGGGGTGGCTATAATAAATGAGTTTGTTGCTTTGTAAGAGTATTTAAAAATTGGTATGACTTTCTTTTTTAGATGGCTGATACTTCTAGTCCTGCCAGTAATCGCATAAAGTCATACAAGAATAAAGCTTTGGATTCGCAGGAACTGCGCCGGAGACGAGAAGAAGAGGGAATCCAAATTAGAAAGCAGAAAAGAGATGAACAAGTAAGTTTTGTATTTGGCTTAAATTGTTGGTTGAAAACAAGATTAACAAGTTTTAAATAAAACGAAAATGATATAATGTAATAAGTCTTCTATGTATCTGATCACCTTCAAACAAACAACTGGAAAAATAAAGTTTTTTGGCAAATGACCAGGTGGATTAAAAGTTGATTTCTTTAAGAACACGAACTTGTTTACATTGATTCCTCTCTCAAAATTATACTCAAATTAAACCTCTGTTGGTTTATCTATTGTAACAAATAACTAGATGCTTCTTAAATTTAACTTTTTGATGAGTGACAATTACCTATCTGTTGGAATGACACATTGTGCTTTAGTTTTTATTTCTTTTTTTTTTTTCTTTCTTTCTTTCCTTTTAACAGATGGCTTCATACCATTTTCAATGTTCAGGGTGAAAGTTAGAATATTCAATGTTACATGTATTGTCAATGAAAACCATTTCAATTGGTTCATATTAGGTAATGGTTCAGCCCGAAAAGTTTTTTATTGTATTATTTAGAAATAAATTGCATATTAACTTGTGTATTTGGTATGTAAAATAGTTTCAATAATGTATGTTTCAAAGTTTTTAAACGTATACAACATAACAAAATTGTTAAAAACCAAGAAAGCATAACAATAGCCTAAGTTTAATTAGGTTGTCCAAGAAGTCCCCATTTGTGATGAGGGGTTTCAGTTGGGCATATATTAAAAACGGGGTGTTACTCTGAATAATTAGGTCTCATTGTCCATCATAAAAGATCTTTTGTATAACACCATTGCAGTTCAATGCCACAAATCTGTTAACACTGAAACTTGTGTGTGTATATATATATATATATATATATATATATATATATATATATATATATATAAATATAACATTTTTAATTCAGTTAATCTTCTACATTCTAATCCTTGAGCTATTTATGAAAGGGCTTAAGACTTGAAGTGTTTAGATTTTACTAAATAGTTGAAAGTAGTTGACATGAAAGATTTTCCTCAAGTTTAGTCTGTTTAGGTTTGTATTCCTGTAACAGTGTCTTTAGCAAATTCAGTTAATTTCATGCTATAAGTAATGTCAGTGTGTAACTCGTGTTTATAAACAGTAACTGTTTTAAAGACTTGTAACATAATTTTCTTTTAAAACTGGATTTTGTATAGTTTTTTTTTTCTTCTGATTGATTGAAAGTTATCAATGTACATAAAATGTTTTGTCAGTATATTAATTTTCTGTTCTTATTGAATATTGCATCAGTGAATGGTCTCTTGGGCAATAAGACAAAAATGCTTTTAAAATCTGAAGTACATCCTGTGGCACTAAACAATGTCTTAAGTTAAATGAAAAAGATGATCTACTGTTTAGAATTAGTCATGTGAAATTAATGAATGCTTTTTCTATACCTGGTAGTGTGTGCACACGTGCGAGAGGAACTTTTTGTGAAATACAACTTTCATGCTTTGGCACACATGAGTGTTTTTAGCAGATCATTAGGGGTTTAAGGTCCTTCAACATACACCCTCACAATAGTGACCCTGTTGATACTGACAACTTATACTGGTGGAAGCTCCCCCCCACCTCCTGAAATATTACTTCAGGATTTACTGAAGAAGTATTCATGTTTTTATTTTTTCATTATAGCATCTATTCACTTTATGGTTTTTTGTTTTTATAAAACCTGAGATTCAAGCAAGTCAAAAAACATTCTCTTTTGTGGTAGGGGATAGTCTTTTGTGTAAAAGACAATCAAAATAATTTGGCTCAATCTTTTTTTTTTTTTTTTTTTCTTCTTCTTCTTCTTCTTCAGTGTTGATCTTGCTTTTTACTAATTATATTTTGATATTCAATAATGATTTCTCTCCATTTATGTATTTTTCATAACCTAATTTTCTGGTAAAGCAGTATGAATTTTTTCCTTAAAATGTTATAAAATTTGTATCAGTTGTAAATATCAAATAGCCCCCCCCATAATTATCCACCAACCAGACACTAAAACTCATTGTATTTGTCATTGTTGGTGTGAACCAAAACTGGAAAGACCCATTACAAGTTCATAAAGGAACAAGAAATGAAAATAAAAGCCGCAGTGAGAAATGAGGGTTTGAACCGTATCTTATATATTTCATTGTTTGTTCAGGACCAACTATCAGCATGTGTTTCTGTATAGGATTAAAGCAAAAAATTACTATGATCTACTCACAGCTGCTTGAGAGTGCCTATAGCACCCTCACCCCAAGCTTAAATAAAATCAATTCAGGTCTGCTATGGTAAAAATTTTCTATCCCAAGTAAAAATCATCACAAAAATAGCAAGTGATTTTGCCACAGCCTATTTTCTGAAAAAAAAAAAAAAATTTCCATACTTTTTAAAAGGGTAAAATATTGAAAAATGACTTTTTTTTTTTTTTTTTTTTTTTTCATCTGAACAGAATATCAAGGAAACTCATGATCTGAACCCCCATCCCCCATTTTTTTTTTTTTTTTTCAGGGGAGTAAAATGTGAAAAAATAGTGAAAATTTTGCATTTTTTCTCCTAAACAAATTTAATCAGAAAGCCTAAATCAAACTATTTCAGGTATAAAATTGAGTTTGAAGCAGAAAAAAATTCCCAGTAAGTCAAAAATAAGGCAAAATTTTCCAAAATTAAGTTTTTATAATTTAACCCATTACCTGGCAAACTATCAGTCCTAACCCCATGAAAGTAGGTATATTCTGAAAGCAAACACTGTTCTTTCATTCAGAAGTAAAATTAGTTGGTGTAAATGGCTGTTTTTTTTCAGGGGGGTAAAATGGTCAAAAATAAGGCAAAATCTTCAAAAAATTACAATATTTTAATCCATTATATGGTAAACTTGTTCACAATCCCCTGAAAGTCTTAGCAAACTTTCTGAATACAACAAAGATTGATTTGAGCCCTTTAAAATTTGCCTTGACTGTGTCAGGAGCCCTGTACAAACAATGCAAAACGACTACAAGAGATTCTTCATTTTGGCTAATTACCATACAATTTTGTTTGTAACTTAAGCTGCATTGGCTCTAGAGGTAATGGAAAATCATCAAAATAACCGTGGGGTAAGCCCAAGGAAGCAATATCCTCTATGGTCAGCATAATAGCAAGATATATTACGCACTCTTATCTCAGCAACAACTGTACTGAAATGAGACAGCCAAGGGGTAAAAAGAAAAATGACACGTTCTTGTTTTTTTTTCCTCTCTTGTTGCATATCCTTTGTATTTCACAACTTTGGTTCATAAAACACTTCCTCTTTATTCAATGATGTTCTTAAGGAGAAAAGATTGAAGTTTGAAAACCATTTGGGATAAAGTAAAAAAAAAAAAAAAATTTTTCATAAAAAGGGGGGCCAATTTTTCTCAATGCTAACTCCTGGGGTACATTTCTCGCAGTCAGATTGAAGATTTATTACCAGTGAATAATTCCATGTGCAAGCAATAGATGTCTGGATACTATAACATGGCCCCCAAAAATGTCAAGAACGTAGCTGATTGAGTGAAAAATTGTTGCACCATGATTATTTTCCGTGGCAAGTTTCCATTGCTTTATCTTAATGGTGTAATTTTCCAACAACCAATTTATCGAAGACTTTGGAAAACACTTTTGCACAGGTTTGCTTTGAAAACTTTGCATTCTGTGAGGGGTTTAATGTTTCTGGTGAAATTGAGAATTTTTGCTAAATATCTGGAATATTAACAGAAAATAGCATTAACTGAAAAGAACCATTTGAACAAAATTAGGAATGTATTTAATAAAGATCCAAACAATTTAGTTACCTTGTTGGACAGTCACTAACATTGATATTCTGTTATTTACACTATTTCAATGTGAACTATGATCATCATCTTATCACAGCAAAGATGAGGGCAATAGTCTGCATGTAAATATTAACTTCTCTTCCCAGAAATTCAGAGAAATGATATGGCAAGTTTTATTTTAAGTGAACAAATACTTTACTCTTGCCAAAATCACTTTTACTATATAAATTATTAAGGCCAATGATATTTTATAGGATTAAAAAATGTTTTAAGCTGCAATTTTCAGTATTTTCTCAGTCTTGTAACTTTGTCAAGATTGCTTAGCGTGCTTACATTACTTATACTTACTAAAATGTATGTCATTGTTTAATGTGTAAAAAGGCATAATACAAACATTTATTACATTATTCAGCAAAGAATATATGCATGCAATTTTTTTTTCTCTTGAACCACAGACAAGGATTTGTTACTGTTAAGAGTTGATTCCATTTGAACCTTAAATTAAAATTTGGTTTAATATTTGAAGTGGCTTTTTATCAAATTTTCTGTCTTAATTTCTTTGTATTCTCCATGAATTTAGCTTTAGAAAAATAAATATATTGGGTCGGAACAGTGATTCTCATCTGCCATGCTGCAAAATATTATAGCATACATTTGTGGGTGGTGGGTGAGCATGATTGGATTTAAGATCACTTCATAAATGTTCCTCCTAATATTGGACTTCAGTTATGTGAAGAATTGGCCACCATTTCTAGTATCTGAGAGTTTAAAATAAAACATTTGAAATTACCCATTGATACATTTTGGATTTCAATACAAAGGAATATTCCACATTAGCTAAAAAGGATTTCAGTTTTATTGCAATTTTCTTATGTGAATTAGGCTTCTCAACCTTAACATCGAAAATAAGAAGTGAGAAAGACTATGCTCGCTTGAAGAAATGAGGGTCTGCTTATCGCACACTTGGCCAAACATTGAAGAATTTGCGAATAAACACCATGCACAGCTTTTCACTAAGCTACACAATAATTGAATAGAAACCTTGAAATAAATTAAGTTCATATTTGTGTGTATAACATTTAAATGTATACCCTTTAAAAAATTTGCTGAGTGTACTGTGATATTTTTGTTTGCTCCAAGGTGTACTGTTGCTTAAACGGTTGAGAAACACTGAGTTTTGTCATGTATAAACATGGAAAAGAAATGCATATTACTTTGGTCTTCATATTCAA